ACGCTGTGATACTTAGAAAACTTTGTTCATCGTAATGAGCAGCAATTTTGTTTTTAAATTCATGATAGTTTCAACACCAGTAACTGTTTCACCACTTGCAGTTAAGTAGGTTTGTCTCGTCCCCAAACAACCATTCGAGAATGATACGTGTATGGAAAGGGAATGATAGGCGTTTATTATATCGCGACAAAAAGTGCCTTCTATTAAAATAGTTTTCGATTCATACGAATAGAATATACGTTTATTAATAGCATGTGCATCAACCATCGAATCAAACTACGTTGTAAACTCGGTCACATTCACAACAAAGTTCCTCGTCGACTCGAGAAATACAAAATAGCCAACTGTCGCTTGATAGACTTTACACGCAAGTGACAAAAAGAAATATGTAATATATAAATCGTTTGAGAACGGTGCTCTGTAAATTTTAAAGATTAAAGCCTAGGCCACACTATCGGCTGTATTCACGAAAACGAAAACAAAACGAAAATTCGTGCACGAAGTACATGTCAGATACGACGTAAAATTGCACGCATGTTTACAAAATCGGCTAAAACGTAAACGGTAATTGTTGGATGTGTCTATGTAGTATCCTTTGCAGTGACAAAACAAGCAAAAAGAAAAGGTGTCTTCTGGAAAGATACTTCTTCAGTTGAAAGCAAGCATTTAGCAAGATACTAGATTCACCCAATTAATAAACGACGTGATCGACTGGGATAATTTAACAATTTGATTAAAGAGTTACGAGAACCGAACAAAGAAAACAGACTCATAAAATACTTGCGAGTGACTACAAATTGTATTTCTCACATCAGATTTATTAAAACCTCGTGCCATCCTGCCATCTTTGTGTAGTAAAGTTTTAGATTATTAGCCAATTGCATGCGTTTTCGTTAACGAAAAAGGTCAAAAATTCAACTCTTCTAATCTGCACGAAAACGAAATTTTCGTTCAAGATTTTCGTTGCGGCAGTTTTCGTTCTAATTTTCGTCGATATGGACGATAGTGTGGCCTAGGCTTTAGGCCACACCATAGTGTGGCTAGGAATTCATTACCATGAATTCAATTTTACCGATTAATACGTGAATTGTAAAGTAGGAAAGTTAGTAAGTTAGGCCAATCATCTTTTTTCGTCCATATGGAGGATAGTGTGGCCTAGGCTTTAGATTCAGCGCACAAACGAGTAAAATATGATATAAGCGTATCTGCGCAAAAAATGCTTTGTCGAATGAAACCTTTTATATCGGACGACACAGATCGCAGACGCACGGATGCCGCGTTAAAACTATTTTCTCACGGCATCGTTTATCTTATTAAGAAAGAAAGTCATGTAAAAGGAAAATACAGAACGCACGCACGAATTCATCGAGCAATTGTCCGAGCAGACAGTATCAGGTTCGTCAGTCGGCTCAAAAACGATACGCAAAAACGATAAACGTATGAACAGAACCACACGCGTATGATACAAAGATACGCTCATCATACGCAAAATTATGTTAACAAATATGCGAGCGGTACCGTACCCGATTGATGGAGTTTCTTGGCTAGCCGGATAACTCGACTCCATACAAGTCCTTATTCATTTAAACTTCATTTTAGGCATTATCGACAACGCTGGCAGTTGGAAGTCGAAAGCAGTTGAAGGATCAAAATGCTGGTATCCCAATGGATTTTGGTGTAGAGCAATGGAGCGAAGACTGGAAGAAAACAGTCGCTCTTCCAAGTTTTTACTGTCTTGAGGAGATTCATATATTTGCCTTAGCTAATATTCTTCGAAGACCAATTCTGGTAATATGTGCCAATTTTAATCGTGGTGACTATGATGAACCAATTGCTGGTGTAAACCTTGGTGGCATATACTTACCATTGTTATCTGACTCCGTGGGTTGTATCAAAACTCCTCTTTTGATTCGCTATCACCATGGACACTTTACAGAACTTGTGTTGACAGAAAATAATGAGAGAGTATCATTAATGAAATATGATGGTCAGCCTATGAAACTCCGTTGTTTGTTACCAGAGGAAAGCAATTTCTCAGATCGATTACTGCGGGAATACTTGAATTGTTTTAAGTTGAATTACACAGATGAAAATGGGTGTATAACGAAAATACTTTTTGCGAAAATGCAAACCTGTGATACTTGTGGCTAAAATAGCCTTGTGGAAAGCCTTGCATAGACGCTGTTAATTCTAACGATATAAAATATACAAGACATTCAAAAACTTTAGAAAATATTTTTAGTGAGCTTCCAAGGTGTAATATATTATTTAGTCCAGGATGACTAAAAAAGCGTTTTTACTTGAGAAATGCTCTCTTATGTACACGAGCTTCCATCTATTAACTAGTCATTATACATACCTTATTTATACTAACAATTTTTATATACCTTAATTACACTAACTATTTATACATACATTAATTATGCTACTATATTATACAAGGTTATATTCTTTGCTTTCAAGGTGAATAAGATGAATTGCGTAAAATCAGTCAAGACTCAGATTTTGCCCTTTCTCACTGTCTCTCAAGTTGTATATCCACGACGAAATTAGAATTTTACAGTCAGTTAACTTACTTCACCATACTTTACACTAGGAATGAACCCTTCAGACTATGGAGAGTTGCAAAAAATAACGTGCTCACGTTTATGATGATATTACAAATTTACCACGAACTATTGAATTACAAAGATTTTACTTTCTGGGGTGCAGTAAAATTATTTAAAAATTGTAGTTTTTGGTCTATTTCTATGGCTCTAATTAAAACTTTATGTTGGGCATTAATTTTTATTACACGAATTCGATTTCCGCTCGGCAAGTCTCTCGCTACTAAGTATTTACTGTACTAAATTGCAGTCGTTTGCATGTTGACTAAACGGAAAAACGCGTAACGAGATCGTATGAATTATAACTACAGCACATTGAAAATGCCTATCATTAAATCCTTTCGTGTTATCGTTACAATTACGTTTATGTCTCCAACCTTGTATAAAACAAATGAAGATTTGATCAGTCTACAAGTTAAATGTTTAGTTTTAGTGGTAGCAGCCTTGTATGAAACAAATGAAGATTTGATCAGTCTACAAGATAAATGTTTAGTTTTAGTGGTAGCAGCCTTGTATGAAACAAATGAAGATTTGATCAGTCTACAAGTTAAATGTTTAGTTTTAGTGGTACCAGCCTTGTATGAAACTAGTGAAGAATTGATCAGTCTACAAGTTAAATGTTTAGTTTTAATGGTACCAGCCTTGTATGAAACAAGTGAAGATTTGATCAGTCTACAAGTTAAATGTTTAGTTTTAATGGTACCAGCCTTGTATGAAACAAGTGAAGATTTGATCAGTCTTCAAGTTAAATGTTTAGTTTTAATGGTAGCAGCCTTGTATGAAACAAGTGAAGATTTGATCAGTCTACAAGTTAAATGTTTAGTTTTAGTGGTAGCAGCCTTGTATGAAAAAGTGAAGATTTGATCAGTCTACAAGTTAAATGTTTAGTTCTAGTGTTACCAGTGGTAAATAGCAAAAGCTAGTAATTTGTTGCAATAAATTTCGACTGCCTGCAAAACTTTGTATACTCTTAAGATTTTCAAATACACAGTAATTCTGTGTATTTGCCTTGTATGAAACAAGTGAAGATTTGATCAATTAAATTTGTTCGGCAGATAGGGGGTAGGGGAAGGTTTAGGTGGGGATTACGAGGGTAGAGGGAGGTTATGTTTCACAACTAAAATTGTGATTCAAATTTTCATCCTTAATTCACAACCAGATTACACAACATTGAACAATGAAGCATGAATTAAAACATAAAACTAAAAAAATGCAAATACCATTAAACCATGACCATTTATTATAGTGAAATGTGTGATAATTTACATTCAACGTTTTCCACCAACACGACCTGTACTTCTTCCACCTTTTTGTTTTGTTGGAGCTTTTGTCTTCACTGGTTGTTGTGCGGCCTTGAATAAATGATGAGTGTTATTGAGATATCTTAGTAAGAATGGTCTACTTCATGTAAGAAGTAAATAAAAGATGTTTACTGTTTTCCACAAGTGAATGCAAACCAAAGAGATCTTGCAAGAAATTAAGATCAGATCATTGCAAGCACAAGACCAAACATCAAGGGTTGCAGATGCTTGGGAGTTCTCACAAATGTCTCTGAGGTTTGCATAAGCCAGTGCAAATATGAAAAAACATCTTTTATTTCTTTTATAAAATAACAATAATGCAAACAGGCAAATTTAAACAAAAGTTTCAATTCTTCCTCTAAATGTGTTCATGATTGATTTGCAAATTCTCTTTGATTGATTGATTGATTTGATTGGTTGAGCTTTGAATGGTTTGCAAACACAGCTATAGACTAACTGCATACGTTTTACTGTTTCTATTTTATGATACACAGTATAAATTGACAACGATTCATCGAATCATTGAAAACTTATGATAAATACTGAACTTCATGAAGAAATTTATCACTCGCTTGGGTGGGAATTAAATTCACAATATGTGTCATAATTTTGCCCAAAGTTAGTCATGAAAAGTTTGTCATACAATTTGCCCACACACAAACAAACAGTCAAAGTTTCTAATAAATATTAATTTCAATGTTTGAACATAAAAATTTTGTTCAAAGCAGTTTATCAACAGCAAATTGCACTGAAAAAGCCAACCTACTTTACATTATAATAGTTGAGTAATTGTTACAACCTTTAAATACCTTTGTCATCTTTTAGCCTCCTTCTTTTGCCTGATTTTATCTTTAGCAGCTCTAAATGTTTATAAATCGTCAACAAAATGATCAATTTTCTCAAAATCTGATTCAGTTTAAGTTTGAGGATTTTCAATGTTTCTCTCTGATTATAATTCATTTTCTCACAGTTGTTACTCATACAATGTAGGTAAAAGAATCTTCACTGAGAAACAAAATCAAAATCTTTTAGTCAAGCATAAAAGATGTAATTTTTTTAGATATTAAAGACACCAGACAGTTGTGTTTAATACCTTATTGCCTGCTCTCTTTGTGCTTTTCTTACTTCAGGCTTCTGATTGCGTTTGGCCAAAATAGTTTCAAGAGTTGCACCCTGGATGGCTCGTTGGAATTTAACGTTTCGTCTTGTTCTCTTTTTCGAGACCTCTTCAACTGAGCCCTTTTTGTGTTTTCTACGGTAAAGGACAGTCCATGAAATCTTTCGTGGATTTCCTCTCATCAAGAAGGATCTCTCACATTTTTTGTCCAGGATATTGAAAACAAACAAACAAACAAACAAACAACATTTATATACCGGCCAGTATTAATCCCCGCCAGGGGGGTTTACCGGTCCATGAATTTTTCCACGCCACATGTCTTTATCTCTCGCCATATCTCTCGTTATACCCATCGCCTTCATATCACTGTTCACAGTATCCATCCATCTCTTTCTCGGTCTACCTCGTTTGCGGACTCCATCAACATTCATATGCAACGTTCTACGAATTTCAGCACTTTCTTCCCTCCTTTCCACATGCCCAAACCACCTCAAACGCTGGCGCCTTACCCAATTCTCGATACACTCAACACCAACTCTTTCTCTAATCTCTTCACTTCGAATCCTATCCATCAACGTTACACCACACATCATCCTAAGCATTCTCCTTTCCGTCGACGCCAATCTTCTCAGGTCCTCTGCTTTCGGCGCCCAACACTCTGCTCCATATCCCAAAACACTTCTAACACATGCCTTATACAATTCCCTTCTGCTTCAACGAAGTGGACTTTCCGCACAACATTCCCGAAAACTCTAAAACTCCACCACGCTGCTTGAACTCTGTTCCTCACCGCTTGCTCGCACCCTCCACCATCATTTAACACATCGCCCAGATATTTAAACTCTGATACACCTTCCAAACTCACGTCACCCAGTTCAAACCGTTCAATCGCGACTCGCCCACCACTTCGACACGTCCCGCACTCAAAATCAGTTACTCTTGTCAATGCACCACGGACACCTGAACATCTTCCATGAACCCACTTACTGCATTTCCCACATTATCGAATTCACTCCAACTCTTTCCCACACACCACATGGCCATTTATCACTGTCCTTCACCTCCACCTGCCTCGAGCATCTCATGCCCTTCGTCTTTGCCTCATTCACTTTCAGTCCCTTGACTTCTATTGCCGTTTTCCATTCTCGGTACCATTCCATGACTTTCTGCTTCGACTCCGCCACCAAGACAATGTCATCTGCATACAACAAACACCAGCATCCTTCTTTTCTTCTCACTTCCTCTGTCAGTACATCCATCACACAAGCAAACAGTAACGGCGACAAGACTGAACCTTGATGAACACCAACTTTTACCTCAAAAACACCAGATCTAACACCTTCCTCCGTAACCACCGCCTCTACACCTTCATAAGTCTCCATAACTGCCCGAGCCATATTCTCTGTCACACCTTTCTTACGCAGCGCGTACTCGATCACCTTTCTTGGAACTCTATCAAACGCCTTCTCCAAATCTACAAACACCATATACAATTCTCTGTCCTTCTCCAAAAATTTCTCCTGCAGCTGCCTCAACACAAAACACGCATCCGTCGTTCCTCTCCCCGGTATGAATCCATACTGCTCTTCCCCCATCCGAACAACTTCCCTCAACCTTCTATCCAAATTCGTCCAGGATATTGAAAGACTATTAAATTGATGTATAAAACATTTATTGGTTATGGCAAAATAATATAGATGTGATTTTACAATTAAGTTTTCAAAGTGTGTTTTAAAAATAACTATATATCAACAAAGGGATAAATTAAGTTGTTTTTCTAAGTCGAACATTGTAAAAGTAAGTACCTTTCCATCTAGACGTATATATCTTTTCCCATGACTTGGGTAGATTTTGTATCCACTGTAGCTGCACACCTCGAGTCTGGAAATTTAAAGAAAATAACGAAATCATCAAATACTAGGAAGATCAAATGAAAAATATAACATGTAATAATAGCAGTCTCTGCGTAAAGACTTATGAATATTTCCAAAACAATTAAAATCGACAAGTTTTAATCGTCGATTCTGGGACGTAAAACCGCTAATATCGATTCAATTATGAAAAAAGTGTTTCAGTTTCACAAGAATTTCATAAAATAACGAAAACGTTTTGCTGTTTCCTTGATTGGAACGGATTTCAAAGACTTACTTTAGAACACGGCTCTCTCTCCGACGTTACTAATCAAGTCATTGGGCTTTATCTTGACTTCTGACATTGATGGTTGTTTTGTAAACTCTCTGAGCCATTCGTTAAAGGTCCTTTGAAAATTTTCAATTCTTTGTTGTTCAATTTGAAGGTATTTGTTTGAGTCTTGGTGATCATAATCATCTTCTATTGTTGCATGATGATGCTCGTGGGCGTTGTAAAATCTGTTTAAAACTTCGTTGAATTCTTGTGCTTTAATTGTTTGCTTCGCTCAAGCTTCTAAAGCTCAATTTTGATTTGTTAACTCCTTCATCTTTTTGTAACTGCGCCTTTTGCAGCAGATCATTTTCTTCGTAGTTGTTCAGACGTTTCGAGAGTTGAAGGTTCTTCTTCCCTGGTGAGCTGGGGTGGTTTGCTTTGTTTGTTCATTACTCATAACGCTTTTCGCTTCGTTGTTAGATTTAGCCATTCGAAAGATCGTTAATTAAAACAAGATCTCGTCGATATATCAGTTGATAAGGATAAATTCTTTGAACTTTTTGTAGAAAAGCTTTTTGTATAATTGTGTGATTGATGGTTGCACGAGTAAACAAAAAATAATTAAAAGTGGGTCAAAATGTCACTCAAACATGACGAAAAATCAAGTTTCATTTCACAGGTAAGGCTAGCATAATATAGTCAACTAACCTTTAGAAAAAAATATTATTGTACACTTTAGAAATATGTACAATACATTATACAATTCACTACATATATATCTGTTTTAAATCAGGTATAAATAATTAACTTGAATAGCAAAACTTAAGGAGGAACCTGAATAAAACCAAACATTTAGATTGCCACTAAATAATGCACCAATTCTTGAAATGTGGGAGAAGGTGGTAAAAGATACCAACAATAATCCAAATTTTTAAAGCATTCCGTTCCAGCAGAGTCTGTAGCAATTATTTCTCCAGACACGACTACATAAAAGCACCTTCAGAAACCAACTGCAGTCTAAAACATGCTGCTGTGCCAACTATAAATCCACAACCCACTGGATCACACTATGGTATATCCAGGAATGCAAGAAGAAAAATCAAATCACCATCTGATTTAAAAGCCATAACAGCACTGTCTCCATCAGAAAAGGTTTTTGGAGAAGCAAATGAGTCAAGAACATACCTGGAAGGAAAATTGAAAAGAAAAATTAGAGGATTGCAACAACAACTAAGGTGGACTAAAGCAAAACAACAAACAATGACAGACATTATTTAGGAGCTAAAAGAAAAACTGATTATATCATGATACTGCTGAACATATGCATGCAAAGTTTGACCAGATACAACTCAATATTTAGAGACACCAAGAATAATGTTAATTGTGCACCT